AGGCTAGAAGTTGTCGACATGTTGTGAGATAAGGGTGAAAAAACTTACTTATCATTTACAACTGTATGTTTTTTGTATTCCGCTTGCATGCTGGAAGCGTCTACGTAGTTTGCAAGACTAGTTGGTAGCGCTTGAGGTAAGTTAAACAGGGTCGCGGACAGGAAGTTACACATCGCCGCACCATAACTGAGGCCAGTAACTCATTTGCATATAACATCAACAGTGACTTGTCAATCAAAGAGCAACGTAAACAAACTTTCGGAACTTTTAATCACATACGCGTGCCTCGATTCCCTATATTTTAAAATCCATTTTTGGGCATGTTCCAGCATTGACAATGCTCCGAAATTTCAACACTATCTAGCCAAGACTGTCTGGGTAACAAAAGCCAAAAATAACAAGCAGCCTATCGGCTGAGATAGCTCCGCTGTTAGAAATGCACATTTCAATTAAAGAACTGAAGACATCATCAGAAAATGAACAATATGTATAGTATCAAAGCAATCGGACTTACAGTTTTTAACAAGAAGTCGAAAATATCACTTTCTACCAAAAATGACCAAAATATTCACCAAAATTAGAGAATTGAAGATATCATCACGAAATGAACAAATCTGAGAAAGGTCTACATGTAGTATCTATACATGTAATATCAAAGCAATTGGACTTGTGGTTTTGAACAAGAAGTCGAAAATATCACTTTTTACCAAAAATGATAAAAATATTCACCAAAATTAGAGAATTAAAGATATCATTACAAAATGAACAATTCTGAGAGAGGTCCACATGTAGTACCTATATATGTAATATCAAAGCAATTGCACTTGCGGTTTTTAACAAGAAGTCGAAAATATCACTTTTTACCAAAAATGACAAAAATATTCACCAAAATTAGAGAATTAAAGATATCATTACAAAATGAACAAATCTGAGAGAGGTCCACATGTAGTACCTATATATGTAATATCAAAGCATTGCACTTGCGGTTTTAACAGAAGTCGAAAATATCATTTTTTACCAAAAATGACAAAAATTTTCACCAAAATTAGAGAATTGAAGATATCAACATGAAATGAACAAACCTAAGAGAGGTCTACCCAAGGTACATATACACCAAGTATCAAAGCATTCAGGCTTGTAGTTTTCAAGAAGAAGTCGAAAAAGTAAAACATTGACACGGACGACGATGACGAACAATCACTCATATGATAAGCTCCGCTCGACAAAGTCGACAGCGGAGCTAAACAAAAATTCACTCCTAGTGCCCACAAACATGCATCTATACCTTAATGCATATGGATCACATATGTTGTTATATAACACTGCAAATAAATAAGGTTGTACATTTCAACACTTTTAGCAACTTTAGACTCGCAATTACTGTGACACGCTTTAATTTTGTGACAGACACATTTTCAGGAACCAGCCAGTGAGAATCACAAAATTTGGTAGCAGGGAAAATGTAGTCCTGAAAAACGCCATTAAATCATCAAAACATAAAAATTCCTAGGAAATTAAATTCACTCTATTCACTCTGAATTATATAAGTGTAGTGAGTGTTTATTTTAGCCGACAAGTACCTAGAACTGGAAACAATATACTATATAAACTCCTTTCGGCCTGCTGGAAACTGAAAATTTTTAGAATTTGAAGACTATAAACAGAACTATTTTGTGAATCTGTGATATCAAAGCAATTGGACTTGCGGTTTTTAACAAGAAGTCGAAAATATCACTTTTTACCAAAAATGACAAAAATATTCACCAAAATTAGAGAATTGAAGATATCATTACAAAATGAACAAATCTGAGAGAGATACACATGTAGTACCTATATATGTAATATCAAAGCAATTGGACTTGCGGTTTTTAACAAGAAGTCGAAAATATCACTTTTTACCAAAAATGACAAAAATATTCACCAAAATTAAAGAATTGAAGATATCATCATGAAATGAACAAATCTAAGAGAGGTCTACCCAAGGTACATATACACCAAGTATTAAAGCATTCAGGCTTGTAGTTTTTCAAGAAGAA